GTTCTAGTAAAGAGTCATTTCAGGTATGAATGGGAATGAATGAAAACTTAATACAAAAAGTAATAAGGACTACCATTCGAATCCTTGTCTCTTTTTATTCTGTAACATGTGTGTATGTGTGTGTGTGCGTATGTGTGTGTGATAAAATTACATTACAAAGTATCTATTTAGATTGCTATTTAATAGTCAAAGTAAACTGACTTAGAAACAATGAATGATACATTCAATGCTTCAAGTCGTCATTATTCATTATTATTATTGTTATTATTAGGTGTGGTTCATATACTACTCGGTAAACTCTTTATACCCTTAGGTTTAAGATAGGATTGGCGACAGATTTCTAATCAATGATTGGCATCATTCTTTGAAATGGAAATGAATGTATGAATCTATTTTGGGCATGGAAATAATGAGAAGAATGAGGTGTGAAAAATACCGAAAAAACTTTATGAAGAAATAATCAGCTAGTCTACTTATTATCATCTCTATAATGATAATAAAAAGTATTTAACCAAAAAAACGACAAAAATTAATCTTATTACTGAGACGATGAAGAAGATTTCTAGCTCAGATGGATGATTTTGATGGAGTTTTATTCTCTGAGCTGGATGATTTTGTCGTAGAGATTTCATCGTTCTTCTGAACAATATCATCAATAAAAAGTTCAGGTATAAGTCTACTTGGAAGCTCCACGATCAAACTATCCAGCTCAGAGAATAAAACTTGATCAAAATAATTTTATTACTGTTTTCAATTATTCGTTATTGGGCTATTGAGAAGTGATTTTGCTGTATTACACAGAGTGCTGAAGGCAGTTAGCAAATTTTGTGGTGAATCTTTTAACATCATTGTTAGCATACCCGTATATAGACATTTAAAATCTTGCAAACTCCTAGTAATTGTCCTCTATTCAGATATTAACCATCCACTACATTCATGTCTTTCTCCCACTTATATATCAAGGTAAAACGAAGCACATATACATTAGAATTCATGCATATAAGCAAAAGTATAAACACATCTTAGATACATTATCTAACAAATATACACTGTGATGAACACCCTGTTACAGCTGATCTAGTCAACAACTCGTATTCTATTTAGGAGATTTGTATACGTTTCGAATCTTAAGTTTATATGTATGTATGTATGTATGTATGCAGTTATCAGTTGCTTCCACTTTGTCTCTTTCTTTACAAAAGACACTTGGTGAAATACTTGGTGATGAGAATTCTATATTGTACCATAGATACAATAGTGAATCAAACCATCAATCAGATAAAATGATTTTGCGTCGAGTATTTTGTTCTGATGGTGGTTTTCATCATTGATTGATCGTATACAGCAAGTTAGGTACTACGGTCAAGTTGGTTGAACATATTATGGAGCTAATCATTAATAGACACTTATAAAACTCATGACATGCTGTTAAGCTTTAGAACCATTAGGTTGTTATCGAGCGGTATACTATTTCAACCTTATTCAATTTGCGTGACAATCACTCACATTTGGTCTGTCAGTTTAGTATGATAAACTATCACAAAACTCAATGTATGAATAAATATTTATGTAAATGGATCTGTACTGGTTGATCGAAATAGATTATTATCAATACTCTTACTATTAGCATTAGTTCTAAAAGAAAATTTTGTTTTCAGATTAGAAATAGAACAACTACATTACTGGTAGCATACACCTATTTCCTCATTTGATTCTTCGTGTCTCTGTTCTATACAACCTTGTAAGATCAATTTAACATACGGAGTTAGTGAAAATTTTCCTTATCGATCCGTTGTATTCGACAACAGAGTTCCATTCTTTACTTCAGTTCAAATATCTATCTCGATAATGTCCTGACTCATTCCCTATTGACCTTGTTTACTACTCCTATTACGACTACGGTTATTATTATGATGATGTGTTGACTCGAATTTCATTTTCATTTTCTTAAATACAAAAATGCCTGATCTGATTTTCTTACAATAAATCTTAATAAACTTTGCCATTATCCATCTAACCATCTATCCATTTGTTTTCGTTAAGAACTTATCCATGTAATATGAAAGTTCACATACAATCACACACACACACACACACACACTTACACTACATACTCACGAACATTCATGCATGAAAGTTAATGCACGAACTGTATATTGAGCCACAAAACACAATCAAACATATGGAATTCTTTATTATAATTACCATTATTATTCATATTAGAAACACGCAAATTCAGTGAAATGGAAAAAATAATTTTCTCCTACTACCATTACTACTAGTAGTAGTAGTAGTGTTAGTAGTATCTGTCACTTATTCATGCATCATCAAATATAAGTTGAATAAAAGTGTAAACACGTGTGTGCATATACATACACATATCCTTTATATATGCCAATCAATCTGAGCAAAGAAATTTTATGGGGTAAGAGACAAACTAAATTTTTATACCCTAATGAAATAGTTAAAACAATGATATTTTGAAAATTGTATAAAGAATTGAGAAGAGTCAAGTAGTCTTAATCATAATAACAATGTTATTATTACTATTACTACTACTACTACTACTACTACTACTACTACTACTACTACTACTACTAATAATAATAATAATAATAATAATAATAATAACGATATACGGGTAAAAGAAGGAAGAAGTTGGGGAAACAGGAAAGTAGATGGAATTAAAAATATTTTACACCACTATCACCACCACCACTGTCACCACCACCACCACCACCATCACCAACATCAACAACAATAACAAAACAGAATAAAGGGAGAGTAGAATTACAACAATGAACCATGATATATATATATATATATATATATATATATATGAGAATATTGTAAATATGATGATTAAACTGAAGAAAATAATAAGCGATGGGTGAAAGAGATGAGTATAAGAATATAAAACTACGTTATCATTCCTCTCTTGATAATCCAAAAATAATTCCATTATGATAGATACTACATTTTTTAAAGACTGTGTATATTTTTTTATTGTAAAGTAAGGAAAATGACTGAATGGAACTGGTAATGATCAGAACTTTATAGATCAACGCATATTTTCATAACTGTTTTCCCGATTGTGATTATTATTAGGAATAGCAGTAGTAGTAGTAGTGGTAGTGGTAATAGTAATAGTAAAGGGATTTGTGAAGATTGTAGTAGTTTCACAGCTGGATTAACGAACCGACCTAAGCTAGGCCACCATTGAAAATCTGAAAGTACTGGAGAGCCAATTCGTCATAGTATGGAACTCCTCAGCACTGCGTATATATGATCCCGCCTAGCGAGATTCGAACATAAAACCTATTGGTCTCGCGCGAGAACGCCTAAACCACTGAGCTCAATCCAAAGGTGTTGATGTCTAACTTCAACTAATCCACGAAACTCAACGACACGTCCACCATTGTTTTCAGTGAGTTACTATCTCGCAACAGGTGGGATAGTGGATGCGCACTTCTGAGGACTTCCATACTAGCAAGAAATGGTCATCCAGTGCTTCCAGGTTTTCCATGATGTTCTAGCTTCAAATGACTCATGAATGCAACTATTAAATCGCAATAATGTCCACAAAACCTCTCCTTGATTAAAGATTCGATAATTTTGTTGTTTGATTATATTTTCCTTGAAAAAGCTTGGACCAGATTGCCAGGCGAAACGTTGGATTTACTTCAAATTCATTCGCTGAGATTTTACAAATCATTTTATCTGATTGATGGTTTGATTCACTATTGTATCTATGGTACAACATAGAATTCTCATCATCAAGTATTTCACCAAGTGTCTTTTGTAAAGAAAGAGACAAAGTGGAAGCAATTGATACCTGCATGCATGCATACATACATACATACATATAAAACTTAAGATTCGGAACTTATACAAATCTCCTAAATAGAATACGAGTTGTTGACTAGATCAGCTGTAACAGGGTGTTCATCACAGTTTATATTTGTTAGATAATATATCCAAGATGTGTTTATACTTTTGCTTATATGCATGAATTCTAATGTATATGTCCTTCGTTTTACCATGACGTTTGAAATGTAAACTTATAGCTTCAAATTCGTCAGTGAACATCAACTATCGAATATAAGTTAATCATGCTGAAGAACGCCAAATAAAATGGGATACATGTCCTGATTGTCACGCTTTGTCTATTCCATACAAACAAATAATTTACGGTTATACATAAACCTCAGATGCATCTGTTCATACTTAAATAAAATAGGGGAGATTGTGTGGAGATTTTATTATTTCTAACAGTTGAATTCACGAATCGATCTAAACTAGACCACATCTGAAAACCTGAAAGCACTAGGTGACCGTTTCTACCTAGTATAAAACTTCTCAGAAGTTCAGGATTCGAATCATGCATGCCGAATCATGCATACGCAGTTTTGAAAAGTCCCATACTCCAGTACTTTTAATTTTTCAATGATGATCTAGCTTATATCGACTGATGAATTTATTTGTCAAAAAAAATTAACGATTTTTCGATTGAGATTATGAATTGATCGATGTTAGATCACCATTGAAAACCTGCAAGTACTGGTCGGCCCTTTCGTCCTGTTTTGAACTCCTCAGCAGTGCGCATCCATGATTACGCTCATGGAATTCGAACCCAGGGTTTTAAGTCTCACGCGCGAACGATTAACCTCTAGACCACTGAGTTGGCATCCAACAGCGTTAATGTCTAACCTCAACCAATCCACAAAATTGTACGATCATCTTCCATTGTAGTGAAGTAGATACCTGTCTCTACTCTACACGGATTAGTTCGAGACTGAAGGCCCTGTGTTCGAATCATGCGAACTCAATCGTGTATACGTACTGCTGGGGAGTCTCACAATAGGATTAAGCGTCTATTCAATGCTTCTAAGTTTTCAAATGTTGTCAGTCAGTTCATGATCTTAATCAAAAACTTAATCATCTCTACAACCCTATAATGATAATGATTTTTCACAAGATTTTGTTTCCTTTTTTTTCAGGTAAATCAAGTATCAAAAACTAATAGAATTTACGATCAAATTATTTTACACTTACAAAAACAAAAAAAATGTGGATTATTTTTATCTTGTTAACAATCAATATTATACCTCAAAATATTGATTTTCTCTATGGTAACAGTCAGGATATCGAACAATCCAAATGGAATATTCATAAACAACAACAACAACAACAAATTCGTAACATTCATAATCTTTCTAATTATGTCATATTAAAGAATCAAAATATCGATTTGTTCAATTTTATTCAAAGAATTAAACGATCCAAATCAAACGATGTAAAAGATGTTCATTCAATGGAGAATAATAAAGATTTGAATAACTCGAATAAGAATGATAAGAATGATCATTCTGAAGATGTTAATCATAAGAATAATGATCCTATTCCAAATGTTATAGATAATAATGAACATTTAATAAATTCTAATAGTAAACTGTCTAGTTCATCTAATTATCATCCATTAAGTTCTAATCAATTATTACATAATTCAATGGATCATGAAAAAGTACTTAGACCAGAGAAATGTATCCCAATTGAAATACCATTATGTAAAAATATTGGTTATAATTTAACTTATTTACCAAATGCATTTAATCATGAAACACAAGAAGAAGCTGGTTTAGAAGTATGTTTTATATATTTTATATCATTAAAATTATTTTATTGTTTAATAATTGAAGATAGACTCGCCAGCAGTGCGCATCCACGATCACGTCCCTCACGAAACTCAAACTCGCCCCAGGCGCTTAATTAATTAGACCACTGAACCGGCATCCAACGGTGTTAATGTTTAACTTCAACCAATCCACAAAGTTGCGCCACCGTAAACCATTGTCGCACACGAAACTGATAGGTCCTGGGTTCGAATCTCGCGAGGGGTGGGATCGTGGATGCACACTGTTGAGGAGTCCCATACTAGGACAAAATGGCCGTCTAGTGCTTCCAGGTTTTCCATAGTAGTCTAGCTTCGAATTGAAACATGATTTGAACCAGTGAAATTTCTTAAATTTCCACAAAACCCCTTCTGAAGATAGACTATCATAGAAAACCTGGAAACATTGGATGATTGTTTTGTCCTAATCAAAGGAATTCTCAACAGTGCACATTTATGATCATACCTTGTAAGATTCAAACTCCAGGATCTATTGACTTTTTTATTTGATACAGTTTTATATGTTGTAAATGTGAGAGCTAGTGAAACCATTTGATTCCTAAAACCGAAATAATTGAACGAGACTGTGAATCTGTGACTTATTGGTTGAATATAGAAACCAAGGTATCATTAAGTGATCACTCTATCACATGTGATTTGATTGACTTTAAAAGAATAGAAAACACGACAAATTCTGAAGGTAGATAATGTTGAACTGATATCTCTGTGTTGGAATAAGCAAGCGATAACAGTTTAAGATTTTTATACCAAGGTTATAAATCATAGTGTTATATGAATATTACTTAAATAAACCTCAGTGCAGTAATATGTAATCTTAATCTCTTCTCAAGTTTGATTAAGTGAGAACCAGGAAGTGATTTGATTGATCTGGATAAAATTCATTAGGTTTAGAACTGTCTTGACACACGTATTGAAGCATTTGACCTTGGTGTTGGTTGACAGTTGTTTTAAGTTCTAGATGTTGTTCATTTGTAGATATGCTACTCTTGTTTTACCGATCCTCGCCTTCATATCAGCATCAGATCCCTCGTGTTCATCAATGATGCTACCTAGATATGTAAAAGTTTTTACATCTAAATATTCTCTATCAAGTGTGATGAAACTAAGGTTAATTTTGTGGATTTTTAAAACCAGAAATGAAACAATAAAGAGAAGATTGTGAGTGAAATAGTTACTAAGTCAGTATCTGGTAAAGCGCATGTTCCTTATAAAAACATATCAAGTAAGGCTGCTCTTATATAACATAAACGTTTGCCATTATTTTGTTATAAAAATAAACAAAATCAAATGAATCAGTAAGAGTAGATGATAAACATTCAATGGCCTCTATTGTCAAACACATAGTTGAAACAAAAAAAATAAGATTTATCTTAACTTGGCTTTTGTAATGTTGAGTAGAAAGTTTTCAAAGGTGTATAGTAAGCTTTATTGAAGTATTGGTCATACGAAAATTCAAACCCCTTTTTATGTATTTACAAAACAGTTTGTTCTCACTTTAAGCCTACTTACTTACTTACTTACTTACTTATGCCTGTTACTCCTTATGGAGGAGCATAGGCCTCTCACCAGTACTCTACATCCAACCCTTTCTTGAGCGATCCTTTTCAGCTCTTCATCCTTTTCATATCTGCTTCTAGTTACCAACGTAATGTTTTCTTTGGTCGGGAAACTCCGCCTGCAGCTCTTCTAGGGTTACTTCTGGTCCCAAGCCCGGGTAAAGGAGGGGGTTAGGCATGGGGTTAGCGATCCCATCCCGTAGAAAACTAACACGCTAAAAAAAACACTAACCAGAAAAATTAATTCACTTTAAACCTACATTGGTAATATTGTTTCATTATCCAGCATGATGAGTTTCACATCATTTTCCTTATTATCTTTGTTGCCTCCTACCTTCTATTTGTTTAGTGGACCTTTTAATTTGTCGTACATGGATGTTCTTAACAAGTATATGTGCGTTTAGATAGTTCGAAATGTTGTGCGATGATACATCACGCTGTGCTGAGAATCTACTTCTTATTACACTATCTAAAACTATTCTATCTATTTATCACTCTGAAGGCAGTAACAGACTTTATGACATGTGTTTTACTGTCCAGTCCTTTCTGATTTACAATGGTCATTTAACTGGTTACATGTCCATGATGGAAACTGTTCTCTGATTATATGTTTTAGTACTAATGATATTAGTGAGAAAAAGTCTGTACTTAACCTTTGATTATCTACTCATTCTATATCAATAGCCTAGATTGGTTTCTTTTCACTTCAAAGTCAAGAAAGTTAAGTATTGTGATATTAAGATGAACGAAATAAAAAAGAGAACGGTTTATTATTGTGGTTGGAGTTAGTCAACGCGAAACCCTAGACCTAGGTTTTGTGCTTCTTTGCACTCGTCAGCAGGGTGTACCTGTAATCGTGAGGAAATTGATTCCCCAGGCCACCAGTCTAGGTGACTCGACATTGCGTTCACTATGTTGAGATAAGATGGTGGTTGGACGTAGTCAACAGGAAATCCTGAACCTGGATGGCTCAGTGGTAACGTCTCTAACTGTAAATCTGGGTGATATGGGGTCAAATCCGTTAGGGAGTATCAGTCCCCTCAAGATTACAGTACACCTTACTGACGAGTGCCAAATAGCACGAAACCTAGTTCCAGGGTTTTCTGTTGACTACCTCTAACTACCATCTTATCTCAACATAGTGAACGTAATGCCGAGACACTTAAACTGGTAGCCACATTGCAACTTGGTCAATAAGATTCGATCTGAACTAAGAAGAACCTGATATACATAACATTGATCACCACCCAGTGATCAATCAATTGTAAAGAAAACGGTTTCTTATTTGTTTTCAACTTGGAGATTACAGTAATAATATGTAATCTATTAACTGATGAATTACTGATGGTCAAGAAATCTTTGTTTGGGTATTATTCTTCATTAAGTTTCAGGTTTAATCTTCTTTAGTTCTATAGAATAATCTTAAACTTACTAGGGAAAAAAAACGAATACCCAGTATTCCATCGTATTTGTCTTGGGAATAAAAGAACAGTTGACTATAGGTAAAATTCATTCCATTTAGTTACGATGGTAAAATAACATTTCAAATTTTCCGTCAGATAATCAATATTAGTCACATGATAGTGGAATCACCACAGAAATTAGTCATATATATATATATACATATGTACGTATATACACGATAGGTTGATAGCTGTCACAAGAGATTAATATCAACGTTAGCCTAAAATCTCAACAGGCAATGAAAAAAACAAACACTGATAGACAACAACACTACACATTTTCTCTCTATCCCTTTAATAGTGATGGCTAGAATAGTCTTATTAGTAGTATTGTTAGTAGTACTAGTAGTAGTAGTAGTACACTAGGTGAAAAAGTAAAGAAAAGTTTTAAAAAAGAAAAGTAAAACAAGCTTCGTTTATTGACTGAACAAAAAATGTCATCAATGAATGACACAATGATAAAAAGCTTATTATATATTACTGACCTAATAGTGACCTAGAAATATATCGATTAAGAGTAATAATAATAATACTAATAATTATTATCAGAATGGGTTTTGTGGAGATTTTTATAAATTTCACTGGTTGAAATCATGAGTCAATTGAAGCTAGACCACTATGGAAAACCTGGAGGCAGTGGACGGCCGTTTCGTTCTAGTATGGGACTCCTCGACAGTGCGCATCCACGACCCCGCACCCCACGAGATTCGAACCCAGGACTTATCAGTTAGCGCCAGGCAATAACCAACTAAACCACTGAGCCGGCATCTAACCGTGTTAATGTCTAATTTCAATCAATCCACGAAGTTGCGCCACCGTACACCATTGTCTTCAGTGAGTTCCTATCTCATACTAGAACGAAACAGCCGTCCAATGCTTCCAGGTTTTCCATGGTGTTCTAGCTTCAATCGACTCATGATTTCAACCAATGGAATACTAATAATTGTTTTTAAAGCAAGCTATTTTAACATTGATATTTAAATCTATGGGAAACCGTCGTAGTTAGGACCATAAAAAATATAGGATGAAAGCCGATTTCCTATTCGTCAGATGATATTAATTCGTTTCAAAGAATTTCCTAGAAAAATTTAATAGTGAATAAGGATGGGCCAAAATCAATGATTTATAACTCAGGTGGATGATTTTGATGGAGCTTGGTCATCATGACAAAATCATCGGATTCGATTCCGTGTTACGCAGCTTCACAGTTAGAGAGAAACGTTACCACTAAGTTATCCAGGTCGAAGATTTCCTATTGGTCGTCACGACTAAACCATCTAGCTCAGAGAACAAAACTCCATCAAAATATGTATATTGAATTAAAATTGTTATATATGCACTATATAGTGAATAAATATATGTTTTTTCAGGGATAAAATGGTAAGAAATAGCAAAAAGGAGTTCTAGTGAGGAATCGTGATTAGTGGAGTTAAGTCATGTCTAGTGTGAGATATGTATCGCTTAAATTATATTGGAAAATGGTTGCGTGATATTATGAACTGACTGAAGTCAGGAATGTAAATCTTCGGATATTCAGTAGTTTGAATGTCAAAACACTCTCCATGAAACTTTAAACTCATAGGTTTAATCCCTGGTAAAATAGCATGTGCTCACTGATTGGAAATACCACACTAAGATAAAACGTTTTCAAAAGCTCCTTAGTTTCCGATGGTTATTTAATTTACGCCAACTAGTGATGGAAAATAAAAGACTTAACAATCTACACAGATCCCTATTCATAATTGATAGATGTAAGCGGATGGAGTCAGTATTGTATCTGGTGTAGTAACGGAGAGTTCGGGAATTTGGAGAGATGTGTTTTTTATAAAGCATTTCTCAATGCTTTCTGAGAGTTTTGTAGTTCTCACTCAGCAAGTTTGACAAAGTAATTTAGAACCATATAAAGTTTCATTATTGTCTAAGAGTTATTGTA